AAAAAAAAAAAAAAAAAAAACAATGAAAAATAACAGAAAAGAAAAACGAAACAAACGCAATATCGTTAAATGAGAACAAAGAGAAAAGTGGCAAAAAACCATCGCGTATTTCACGTATTGCCTTTGCACTCGTTGACGTGGCTTAGAACAGAATGCTTGAAAATTACGCTTCAGGATCGAAGACGGCGTCGGCTTCAATTGCGCAACAAGCGCGACGCAACGAAATTCGATCATCTTTGCCGCATAATAACGCCGCGATATATAAAAAAAAATAAAAATAAAATAAAAAAAAAAGGAGGACAAGAAGGATACGCGAAGAAGGGAGAGAAATAAGGCGAGCGAACGAACGAGAGAGAGAACACGAAGAAAAAATGGCGGCGATGCGACGGAAGCAGAAGTTGGAAACCATAGCTCTATGCACGAGGTCACAGAAATATGTAATGTGTAGCGACATGCACGACCCAGGAGGATTAGTCGATCGAACCGGATGAAATATCGCGAGGAAAGACACTGATTCACTAGGTGAAATGTTATCAGGGATATTCAAGCGAATTCGCGGAAGAGGGAAGAATTATGCGTGAGTTATCAGAGAGAGCGAATGTATTAGAAAATTTCTTATAAATATTTTTTTCTAAATTTATTTTTCACGTAAAAGCGAATAAGAATTCACTCTGTCTACGATTTTTATCGATGAATTTTTTAGAGGTTAAAATGTTGTATCTAGAAAAATATATCCCATGAACGAATTGTATGTAAAAAATACGAGTTTATTTCTTACATAAAAGTATAAAAATTCTTAATATTATGATTTTTATTGTGGATAAAAATGAATTTATAGAAGAAGCAAGAATTATCTGTAAATTTGAATCATTGAGAGTGAACTTGGAACGCTATCTAATCGTAAATTTCTGAAATCTAGAAATCTAGTAGATGAACAACTAGATAATTCGAAACGGATAAATTCAATAAATTAAAATTAAAAGTTTCGTTCAAATGAATTTAGATAAACAGACTCGTACCTAATAATAAAAGAAAAAAAAAAGGAACAAATAAAAAAATATAAATAAAAATTATTAAATTTAATCTTTTCACCCTCGTCTTTAATCGATCTCTCTAATTTTTTTCTTTTTTTCTTTTTTAAAATCTTTCCACTCCCCTTTACGATGGAAGTGTGAAAATGATCGCACGAGAGAATATTACTTAATTGCCGCGCGATTAAGTCCCCCTCGTTCGATGATGAAACCGACGATTATTAATACACGATGAGATCGATCGAAAGTTGTCGAATTTCTGGCTCGTTCCAGTTTTCAACTGAGAGTGGCGAGAGGGGGAGGGGCGAAGTCAAGGCGAGTTACCTCGATTTCGTCGTCGTGTGCATGGCAACGTAAGAGCCGACGAGCTGCTGCTGTCGAGGGTAATTATTTTTGCGCGTATCACCTTGTGCCACCGAATATTATTGAATGGTTGAATAAATAGGCGGGGAGAGAGAGAGAGAGAGAGGCTTTTACCTGAAGAAACTGTGTCACGAGGAATAAAAAAATAAAAGAATAAAAAAAAATCATTCGGTTAGAAGGCTGGAAAGTTGTGCAACGCTTTCACTGATTATTCACGATCACAAAAAAAGAAAAAATTAGTGCTCGACACGATTTGTATTGTTAACGTGATGCAATAAAAAATTACATTGTGAAGAATATACAAACGAGATACGTGTATATATAGGAAATAATAACTTCTGTTCTCGATTATATTTCGATTGGTTATCAACATTTATATGGGCCGTCTGTCTCCCGATTAAGATGATTAATCGAGGTTTCTACTTGTACACGTTCTCTCAACTTTTTCATGGCCAATCAATTTTAATAACCGCATTATGCGCAAGTATTTAATACCACCAATTTATGCTCACCAATGTGAGCAACAATTGTGATATGTGTACATATCTTTGACAAATATTAGCGATTGATTTACGTGTATCGAAGAATGAGTGTGAAAAACGAAGAAAATATTGGATAAATTCTCGAGTTAAATTTAATAGAAGAGAGAGAAAAATTTTTAATACGAATATATTTTGAGCGAGGCATTGAACATTGAACGACGAGAAAAAAAAAAAAGATTAAAGCAGGAAATGCAATTAGTAATATTGAAGTTCACCAAATGCAGTCGTAAATTTAATTCTCTTCAAGGTACAATTACTGAATAGATCCATCATGTGCCCGGCGTAAATGCTCTCTTAGAGACGGGTCCGCCGATAACTAACACTTAAATGAGAGGTGTTTGGTGCATGTGTAGGCATCGTCAAAGGATGCCAATTAAAGCGATGCCTTTTCAATATCTGATAATATTTGGTATTTAATGAGATATCGAATAATGTTTGGTATTTAATAACGTATCTATTCATATTTGATCAGTATATATCGTCTGACATTATGTAAGATACCATTCAGAATTATGCCATTGTGTATTTCGATCACATATTGCAATTAAAACCACGATCTCTCTATATAGTTATATCGAATAATTTATATTCGATATCGTTTAGCGATGATTATATCATAAATAAACTGTTAAAGAAGATATCAACAAAAATTGGATATAAAATAAAATATATTCGATATATTCGATTAGCCAATTTCTTCAACCCTGAAAATTAAATCCTGAATGAACGAAAAATCAAGGATTAAAATTCATTCAGAGTCGTGATCCTTCCATCGAAAGATTTTATGGATTTTATTTAAAATCAGAAATCTAAAAATTTCGAGTAATTCAAGATGAATTGATGCTCGGGACAAAAGGTAAAAATTCTGGAAATACGATCCACGCCGGCATCGATCCCTGATCTAAAAATTATACGATCTATTCGACTTACCTCTTGAGATACGGGATTGTTCTTGTTCCGGCTGGTATTGGATGTATTATTAATGGAAGAGAGCGTGGTAAGGGTTGCAGTGCCGACACCGCCGACCGTCTTTCCGCTGACCTTGGTACCAGCACCACCGACATCTTTGTGCAGCGTTCCAGGACTCTGAAATGAAATATCGATGGTGCGTTAGAACAATGCCCAAGAACGTATTTTTCTTTCCTCTTTTTCTTTTCTTTTTTTTCTTTTTTACGTTCTATGATAATGAGGTTGCAACCTGACATTGAATCTCGGATGAAATATCGAAGAGATCGGGGAAAAATTAATAGCCGTCCCTCGTTTAAGGGAATAGAATTTCGAAATATTTTTAGAACGAAATTTTTATCCACGATTTCTGGTATTGTATCCTATGCAATGCTGTTTAAAAACTAATAAAATTTGATCTTTATCGACAAACACGAGTTATTTGCAAGAAAGATAAAATTGGAAAAATTCTATCAAAGATTAAATTTCATTCTACAAAATATCAATGAAATTACATCACTTAAAAAAAGAATCATAATCGGTCACTACGAAAATTCACTCGATATAAAACCAACAATATTTCAAGTATCGTATTTGCAACACCTTCAACTTTCTTTCGTAAAATAGCCAAACAATTTTCATCTCTCAATTCAATTTCCAAAACTTTCTACTACGTTACAATTTCCATCTATTATTCCACTCAATTTACTCCTTACTCGAAAGGTTGTTTAAAATCGCATGTACACTCGCGTCCCCGATATCTCGTCGAAATCATCGCTATTTCTCTTAATCTTTGACTCCGCGCATCCATCCAACGCGGAGGAA